GTGCACTCAATCCCCTCATCCAGATCATCGATAAAGATATGGCTCTTTTCCAGCTTCTCAGTCCACAAACACTGTACGACAGAGTAGCCCCAAGTTTCTAGTACAGAAACTAGTAAAGAAACTTCCACCACCAGGGATAAAAATTGTCTGGGTTTTTGTAGTGCTTCATCTTGCAGCTCCTGCTGCTTTCCAAGGCCTTCAATTTATAATGAAGGCCTCGCAGATAGGAAGCGGTGTGTCCCGGCTCTCCTGGCAGCTCGGTGACAGCGGGGGGAGAAGCCGGCGGACGCCCAGTGCCCTCCGTTAAACCGGTGCCCGAGTCCCTCTGCCTGCTGCAGCGATTCCACAATACAGAAAAGCACCCCAACAAGCAGAGAAGGGAGAAAATCATCCTCACCTTTTCACACGGAGCAAAATCTATTAAAGCAGGAGTGGGTTAAACTCTGTTTCGCTTTAAATGGGAATTTAAGCAGGACGTTCATCTGAAGCATTGCATGGGCATCTGCTGGGAAAAGCAGAAATTTTTTATATTGCCACCTGCCACCTAAAGATACCATCAGCACTTTTCCCCTTTGCAGGCAACAGGAACATCACGGCAGTGTTTTAAGGCATCCTGGCAGCTGTTTGCAGCACAGGTCTCCTTTGGACTACGGCAGAACAATTTCACCTGGGGTCTGTACGCACAAATCTGTCACACAGACAACACAAGAAAATGATTTTGTCTTCTAATTCTTTTCAGCTTCTCACTATTCATAGTGTCAATGTAACATATTCACATGTAAAGCGACACTTTGCTTGAAGTGTGTTCCTTTGTGTAAATGACACAGTAATGCAACATAGCTGTTTGAAATTTTTATTAAAACCACTTGTACATGGCTTTTGATTGGCAGTTGTAAGATTATCACTGTAATTAAGCATACAGCTTGCAAAGATATACAAATGCCATTATTTACTTGCATGGCAGAGCTTTAAAAATTCCAGAAATTTTGACTTTGTATGTGGAAGCTGAATGTATGCAGTGTGGGGGACCACAGAAAATGCCCCTAGGAAACAGGTATGAATATAGGAATGTATACCTGGGGAACGACAAAGTATGCCACAACAGTGCAAGGGTGGGTGAAACAATGAATGCAAAGTGTATGTTTAATACTGGAATTTTTTTTTTTCTCTTTAGGACTCTTAGCACCAACAGGGGTGAGTGGATGCATCAGAATAATTGAAAACGCTGCTGGCGAGGGAGGTTATTCCTCCAACATGCAGTACTTTAAATAAATCCTCACAGGCAGGCAGCCAGCCCCTTGGGGCTTTATGGTTGTTGTGGTTTAACCTGGCAGGCAGCTAAACACCACACAGCCCTTTGCTCACACCCCACCAGTGGCTGCCCCCCGCCCCAGACAACTCCCCCCAGTTTTTTTGTTCAGTGTGGCATCGTATGGTGTGGAATATCCCTTTGGGCAGTTTGGGTCAGCTGTGCTGGTTGTGTCCCCTCCCAGCTTCTTGTGCACCTCCAGCCTCCTCCCTGGCAGGGCAGCATGAGAAGCAGAAAAGTCCTTGACTTAGCACTGCTCAGCAACAACTAAAACATCAGCGTTCTATCAACATTATTCTCATCCTAAATTCAAAATGCAGAACTATACCAGCTACTAGGATTAACTCTATCCCAGCTAAAACCAGGACAATGGCGAACACTGAAAATAGGAACATGCATAGATGTACTGGCCTACCCTACCCCTCTTCAGGCCAGAGCTAAGGCCTCCTACCTTGTGTAGGAAGAGGTCAGGGCTGTTCTCACAGTTCTTGCTTACACCTCTGCATACCTGAATCTGAAACGTGAGTACTGAAATAGCATGTTCAAAAATATTTGCTAACCCTGGCCTCATTGTGTGGGTAATTTGAATACATAAACACATGCATAGATAAATAACCACTTAGTTTAAGAAACCTAGATGTAAACAAGAATCAAGAATTGCCCTGTCTATTCCCACACGTAAAAGGCACTAAAATTTTCCAGACTATTAAGAATATTCTATTTTCTGAAAGTAATAAGGTATTCAGGATATGCCTGAATGTCATTAAATATGACAAACATCGATGGATTATTCACATTATCAACCACGCTGTCATACAGGTCAGTAGGATCTGCTGAGTTTTTTGGTGGTGGAGTGATTAGTCCTCCACTCCCAGTGCAGTACTGCCCAGTGAGGACCCGAGCCAAGTACATGTATTTTACGCCGTTCGTATCTGGTCTGGAATAAATATCCTGAGCAGAATAACTTGCATCAACAGCGAAGTAGGTTCCATTCCCAATGGCTACAGCTGTTTGGAAAGACATCATGTTCAAATACAGTTAGTGTTCTTATTCCCATAAGAATCTCTAAAGCTTCCCCCCCCCCTTTTTTTTTTTAACTCTACAGAAGTTATAAATTTGGTTAGAGTTTAAACAGCATATTCTAGTAATAATCCTTTGTATCAGAATCAAGTATGAATCCACTTAGATGCTGGGTAAGTATCAACGCACAGGTTTTGACTGCCCTTTCCTATGGGGAAAAGGGTTCCTCTCTCTGTTTAGCCTTGTTGTTTAGCCTGCAATCCATCAAATTGCAAATCTTCAGAGCCTTCTCAACTTAAAATGACTATATAATTGTAATTACAGTTTTCTAGTTACACTTCACAGCAAGAAGTTAGAGGAATCGTGTTTCTTTGTCTGAGACAGATTTCTTTTTTCTGACATTGGTACAAAACTGTTCAGGCCAGACAGGTCCTTCCTATCTGGCTGCTCTGATCTTTGGATATTTTTGCATGGCTATCCAGCCTGATGGAAGGGAAGCATGCCTTTCCTATTGTAAATTGTGGCTGAGATGGAGAGGTGGATGTCAATACTCACAGGCAGAGAGAGGACATGGGGATCTAGGACTCTTGCTTCCCAAGTAAATCCAACCTCCTGGCACTACCAAAGAGCAGGAAAGCAAAACTATATCTCCTCTAGTCATGTTTTAAAAAGAAATGGTGGCTGCCATTTCTATCTGTGTGAAGCCTTATACATTTTGTGTATGTTGGGCTTCATTATGTCAAGAAAATATCAACATATCCTCTAGAGGATCCAGACAGAGAAATGTCTACTTTTGGATCCGGACCACACTGAAGTATCAATTAGATCTGAGTTAAGCTGTCCAGCTCTCTCAAGATCAATTCAGCCCTAGGCATGTACAATTATGTCTTAAGGAAGAAAACGTTTAGAACAAAAAGTAAAAGGACTTTTGAAGTAAGGTTGCAGGACCTCTAAGAACAACTGACACCTCATTTCAACCCAAGATCCACTTCTTTGGATCCTGTCCTTCATCTTTGAATGCTACCAAATAATAAGCAAAACATGACTGTACTAGAGGAACTGGACAAAACAATCTTCGAACTAATGCAGAAGGTCTTTCTGCTAAATATTTAATAGTTATCCTAACAACTATTAAAGGGGAAAAATTAATTAATGTCAACTGACTTCATTTGCATAAAAATGGTAGGGGAGTGTGATCTTCTGATTGCTTGTGCTGTCCTTATCTTTGGTGGCAACAGGAAAAGCATCTGCAACTCTACTTTGATACCTGCCTTTGTCTAAGAAAAGAGGAGACACCAGCAGCTAGTGTCCTTGCTCCTTTCTGTAGGCAGATCGTAGAAAACATTTTCTCAAAAGCTGCCAGGCTTGATTTCAGAGTAGGCAAGCTTTTACTGATACCCTCTAGGTGGTGGCATTCATCAACAAGGGATTAACTGAACTGGTTAATTCCTCTGTCTGTAAAGGTTATGCTCCGGAGTTAGTTATTATTTTGTCCTCCAACTTTATTCAGTCTTCACGTTGTGCTGACAGCACTGTAATATTGACATTCTCTAGCACCTCATCCATGTTTAGGAAATTAACTGCTCCGGATAATGACTCACCATTCTTTCCAGCAAACCCACGATTAAATCCATTGTAGTTGATGGCATTCAGTGAGGATGCAGCTGTCCCATGAAATAGCAACTTCTCATTATTTTGAGTTTTGTTCTTTGTACAGAGGGAGGTTTTTTTTATTTGGTATGTCTGCCAGAGGAAGGGATTTTGTATTCTTTCAATCTGTAAAGTTACAAAATAGAACTATATTTATACTGGTAGGGACCAATATTTATCGTGGCAGGAAAGTACTAAAACCAAACAAACTGGAAGAATGACACTAATTTTCACTATGCCCTGTTAGCACGTGGTTTGGGTTGGGGAACTGAATATGTGAGCATCCTGAAAAATCAGAAACCGAAAGTAGATTACAAGAAGTTTTCAAACCTGGTTATTTTTGGCATACATTTGTCTTGCCTAGTATACCAGGTACACAGCCAATCATGGTAGCTGTGCATTGTCATTTTTAGAAATAGGCTGCTGTACCACTGCTAGAGGCAATGATGTAAGATGCCTTCCGTACATCCTAATCATCTTTACTGATTATTTTCTCACTAGATTGTAGCAATAGCATTACACTGAATTTAAGTTTCTCTTCTAGATCTCAGCTTGGAAGTCAAAATTACTTCCTTTACCGTGTAGCTTAGCAACTCATAAGAAACTCCTATATAAAAATAAATTGGTGGAAGGATAGATGTTGCTGGCTCCAACATGTGAATATAGCTCAGGGGGAAACAATGTATCTGTGTCAAAGTATAATCTTAAAGGCATTGCTGCAACAGCTTTCCATTATCAAGAGAAAAAGACTTCATGTCATTACCTGATTTTTTCCATTGTACACTAATATTTTGTTCTATTTGTGTCTTAGTGACGATGCTCATTGAATCTCATGATGGAAGAAAATTTTTCAAACACATATTCTCACTCTTAATTTCATTGTATTTTCTCCTATTTATCACTCCTGATTCTGAATAATTCCACCTTCTCCCTGGCAATTAAATCTCTGCGCACTGTGTTGCAGACTTTTCAATAAGCAGAATCAAATCTCGACACTTTGGTTAAAACCTACACTCTGGGCTGAAAGACTCTGGGACTGACAGGGAAGAAGTAGTAAAACAGTAAAAAGCTTTACGGCCAGTCTGCAAGGACTTTGTATTTTCCTTTGTATACCGAATGTGTTTGCTCATGCTTCCATTTCAATACAGAATTTCCTAATTGGAAATACCACATTAACTAGTGAGTACCACATTAGCTGAACGGAGAGTCAGCCTGAAGACTGATGGTCACTGGTTTTACATTATTAGAAGGCAGAAATGGCAGGGCAACTCTTAGGAAATTTAATCTGATTTATATCCACCCTGTACAGTTGCTGAGGAGACTGACATATGAAAGGTGTATTAGGTTGCAGACACCTTACAAACAAATATTGAGAAAGTGTATTAATGTTTTTAGCCCAAGAATTCCCTCCCCCCCGCCCTGCCCCAGATTTCACCTTGTCTATGACAAAGCTGGAACAGGTTTTCTTAAATTTGTTCTGAACTTCCAGATATTCCTGATGTGATGGGTTGAGGTTCACCAGTTTGACCCGTTCCTCTCGCATGTCTTCCCACTGCACAGGGAGCTCTATTGACTGCTTATCTGCAAAACGGAGATTGCAGTATTATATATATATATAGATATATAGCTCAGTTTTGTAGCACGTCTTACCATGCATACGGAGGGCTGGGAGGACAACACCTTATGCAATGCTTTATTCCAAGAATGCTCTCTCTCTTCAATACATCACTGGCTCTGTAATGCACTGTTAAGATTTTACATTTTCTCTAGTCTAATTATCCCCATACTAATATCTAACCAAAACAGGTTTGAAAACCACAGAAGAATTTTCCACACTTCCTTTGTCAGACTTAAGCATGAAATCTATGCTCACTAGTCACATACATACGGATAATATTTGTATTTAAAATAGACGTCCTGATTTCAGTTATACCTGCCACTAATTATGAAACTAAAAGTGCCGGCTATGACATGCCCGGGGAAAAAAAAAAAAAAAAAAAACACCACAAGGGGAAAAAAAAAAAACCAAACCAAAAAAAGCTATAGAATAGTTTACTACTTCGGAATACCTGAGTTTGCGTTTATCAGAATTATCATTCAGTAATCACTATTAAAGGGGTTTTTATTAACAAAGCTGTAATTTACCTTCATTCTTTGGCACACGTTGAATGTTTATCGTTTTTCCTTGGTCACCCTTAGCCTGTAGAGTATTCAGATCCACCTTGTAGTTCTTGTTGTTAATTTGGACAGTAAGATATGGTTTTTTAGCTATTTTGGCATCCTCCAGCCGCATATTTGTCAGTTTATCAAAAGCAACAAAGCTATCATTGCTTCCTGCATACCTCCATTGTACCAGGTTATAAACAAGTTCTGCCTTGGATTGTTCTTCCTCAGTATCCTTAATTTTTTTTATCATTTTTTGAACTTCCACAGTAACAAAACAGACATCCCTGCTGATACCAGAAATTTTAATGCTATGGGGGGGATGTTTATCTTCAAGCTGAATGGTAACATGATTTCTTCTCTGGAGATCTGCCAAAGCCGCAATATGGCTGTCATCAAAATTTTCAATTAGCTCATCTGAAATACTGTTTTCAAACTGTTCCTTTAAAATTAAATTCTTTATCCAGGTCTCAGTTGCATCCACATTTTCTTGGCTTTCTCCACAAATTTGAAATGTGGCTAAATCAACTTTCTTCTCCAAAACCATGGGCTTTTTCTTCTCAGTGTGTTGGTTTTTTCTCCAAAAAAATGCTGTGAAGAAATATATGTTAATTATTAGTTTTAAATAAAAGATCCTTAGTTTTACGTGTCCATGCACACAGAAAACCCACCTACTTACATTTAATCAGAGACATCCATGAATCTGTTGTGGATGAATCTGAAGCTTCTCTTTTCTTCATGCTTTCATAGAAGTCTCTGAGCATGTTTGTCTGGAAGATGACGATTTTAATTTTTTTCAAATGCTGTAGTGATCTTCTGCTTGCAAATTCCACTATAGCATCCAACATGTCATCAGCTACCTTTGCTGGACTCTGTCCTGCCTGACCTGAACAAAAATAAAAGGCACGTATCAGTGAACAGTACTTAAATCAAGGCAGCATCCAGAAAACAGAGAACGTGCCCCCAGCTCATACAGATTGGTGTCCCTCTCTCCTCCCCCGCTATGCTTTCTGGCCAAAGCCCCAGGCTTAACCTCAGCTTTTCACCTCAGCCTGTGAGCTCCAGGAGTTGACACCCTACACAGACCCGGGAAGCCCTTCTGGGATTCTCTGCCCATTTACTTTGAGGCTCCAACAAGCACTTCAGCCTTAGCACCCCCCTGATATTTTTAAACCCACACACATCATTAACTCTATCCCCATCTTTAAACCAGGTACCAAAGTCAAAACAAATCAAAAGCAGCAGAGGATTTGGGCACAAGCCTACGGTGTATTTCAACATACAAACAGGAACATCAAGATCAAAACTGCTCTCATTCCCCTACAACAAGCCTGAAGTGCAACCTAAAGCTTATCCAGAAACCTTGGTGGGACCCCTGCCAATTTCAGCCACGGCATCCCTTGGACAGCCGTCGTGACACTAGCATGCAGATGAAGTTGGCAGTACAGGGGACCTGCAGTAACTGTTACTGTGGAGTCCAAACGCTGACCCGTGCACCAGCTCCTACCCTAACCTGGCACGCTGAGCAAGGACCAGCTCGTGATTTTTTTTTTCCAGTCAAGGGGAGCCTTGGTCTGAGAAGGATACCCTGCTTTCTTCAAGCCCTGCTCCCCAGCCTAACCAGCAGCTTAAGCCAAATAAGCTAGCCTGCCTCTAGCCCACCACTGGAGCAGGTAGGCTGAAACAAGACCTATAGAAGGTGTAAACTGCAGGTATTCTGTACCCAGCCAGGCAAGGTTTTTGTCTCAGGACAACTCCAGCTTTCTTCGCCTACAAACCGCAACCCCAGCCCTTCTGTGGGGCTGAAATCCCAAAGCAAGGTATATGGGAAGTTTGAAGAAAGGTGCAGGGTAGCCAGCTGAGATACACAGTCTGTTTTGGGGTAGAATGTCTTTTATGGAGCAATACCTTTTCTTTAGGTGTTCTTGCTCAATCAGTATTGACCGTAATACTTACACTTTAAGAAAAGCAGCATTTTTGAAGTGTGTAGGTGGTGTTTGAACTGATCACAATGAACTTTCACAAATCACAGTTCACAGAGTTTCTTGTACAAGTCTACTGTTATCCGTATCAGAGATATTAACTCTGACCCAGTTTCTGAACTACCCCCATCGCAGCCCTCGTCACTTTCCCAAGAAAAAGCAAACCTGTTCCAATTGCTGGGAAGGCGACAGATTTGTACATCCTTAGCTCACACTCATGAAGGACTTTGGAGACCTGATGCTTCACGTTGTTATTGTGAATCAAGTGGATGATTTTACTGCACAACAGTTGTCCACCTTGTGTAGTAATAAAGCCATTTTGAGATTGCCCCGCTGGAAGAGACAAGATAAAGAAGGAGACATAACATTTGCAAAGTGTCTATCTCTTCTGATAAGACGGTTGTATTGATGCTAGTGTACACTGGAGTAATACGCACTAGAAGAGAAGTGGAAAAAGTTGAAAGAAATCCACTGTGAGCTATATTATCCTGGTTTTAGTTGATTCCAGTTTTCTCTGTAAATATTCTGATTGCAGAATTTCTTTGAGAAAGTGATTGAAGTAGTTGTGTGTTTTCTCATTTCCCAGGATCTCTGCTACAAACTAGTTTCCTATTAAGTATAACTTAAGAATTTATGTTGAATTTAAATACAGCTCACTTCTATTTAAAAGCATGCCAATAGCACATGCACAATTCATTTATATGAGAAGTATCTTTCTACCCTTATTCCTTGAAAGCTCAAACTCTTACTCTGCAGAAGAGCTGAATGGCTAAAATAATAACATTATTTTATTAAGATAATGACCAACTGATCTAAGAACTGTGGAATGGAATCTTTAAGACGACGTCTGTGTTTTTTCAGAGCACTCATGTTTGATTACCCTTGACTGGTTTAGAGTGTACTTGGTAATGTAGGTTAATGGTTGGACTGGATGATCTTAAAGGTCTTTTCCAACCTAAATGATTCTATGATTACAAACACTTCAAAATGGAGTCATATTGTGAGGATGAATGGACTGATGAGCACAGAGTTACATACCACTTCACTTGTCACAAAGGTAACAACTGATTGTAAGATCCTCTGCATGTGCTGAGATCCGGCTGATAAACAGGGAGAGCTTGCACAGCCAAAGGCTGCGAAAAATATCCAGGTGTCCTGGTTTTGGCTGGGATAGAGTTAATTTTCT